ACTACTGCGCTAACTCACCTTGCCTTCGCTTGTTATGCCTTGGGTACTAGCGCGTGAAAACCTCCCCCACACGCTCTTCGTAAATTGGTGCTAGTGGCCCGCGTTGGACTGTCCGCCTCACCCTACCGGTCGATTCACTGCTTGAGACGCGCGTAAGCTCGAAGCCAATCAGGCGCGCTATGTCGTTGATTGGTTGTAAGAGACAGAAGACACGTCTCTGCCCTGACTTCTGATTTGGGAAACCTTCCTTTAGGCAAATAGTATTGCCGGTAAAGACAAAGGACACTTGACTGACCGTTTCTGGCTTATTAGTCGTTGTCAGCCAGTCCTACCCAGACCCAAGTGGTATCCCATTCGAGTCTCGAACTCGCGACCTTTTTTGATCAGAGTTAAACGCCCTAACCATTGAGCCACGAGCTCGTTGTCTAGCCGGTTTAGGTCAGGGGCTATTGACACTCGTGGATGAACGCTCACCTGACCTTCACCTTCGTTTTGTCGACGGAACCACTTCGACACCATCACCAAACATGTTTGTGCACGCACGAACACAGTGCCGATGGTACACAGAGGGTGTTTATCAGAGTAGTTCCTTTAAACGAAATCCATCAGTGTATCGTCGCCTGGCTCCCTCCATCACTTGGTATCGGGTATTTATTCAGACAGGGATGGATTCACGGATTCATCGGCTTCCCGAAGCAACTAAGCTCCGAATGGGCGGTAAAGGCCACAAACAAGCAACCAAATGCCAAGCCTAGTTTGGTCCTGTTATAATTGCAGACAGGAGGGACGACAGGGAATGCGGATAGATTGATACAGTACTGGTCTGGGTTAATTTTGTCTATCACTCAGACAACTATAACCCTGAATATAAACTAGGACTGGAAACACAAATATACGCTCGAGTACAGCGCAGGTAGTCCACAGATTGGATCTAGCAGATGAATCATAAGCACTTCCTTGAAACAAAATGCACCAGTGCCTCGTCACCTGGAATCCTCTGCCACTTTATATCGGGTATTTATTCAGAGAGGAAAGGACTCACACCGATTTATCGGCTTCCCGAAGTAACTAAGCTCTGTATGGTTGGCATAGGTCACAAACAAACAACCAACTATCAGCCCAGACTCGGCCAAGCTACAGAGATGCGGGTAAATAGATACGGAAATGTTTCGGGTGTATTCTGACATCAGGGTAAACGTGATGGTTATTCATAAAGATAAGAACTAGGACTGACCCCAAACTCAAACTGGGGTAGCATATTTTGATAGTTACCATCCCGTTATATCGATTTCATGGGTTTACCAAAGTCTAAATGGCCTAAATGATTGTTCGAGATAAATATTTAATTCAGGTTGATGGTGGGAGGGCTCGCCTATCGGGCTGATTCGTGGAATTGAATAGGGTCTGGCATTCCTGGACACCCTCTCTCCCCCATCTAGAATTGTCCTCGGCTTTTTGACTACTGCTGGCCGACGATGACATGGAAATAATGAAAAGTCGTAAGAAGACGCGG